ATAGTAGCGCTGTGGAAGGAAATTGCTTAAGAAATTCATTCAGAGTTTAGTTTTTCACAGCAGACATGCATAAAGCACCAGAGTATGCCTAATTTTACAACATATTGCATTGTAAGTTACCGGTGAGTGTTTAAAATCTCCCCCACACCATTACACCACCACCACCAGCCTGAACCGCTGATTCAAGACAGGATGGATCCATGTTTTCATGTTGTTGAGGCCAAATTCTGACCCGAGCATCTGAATGTGTCAGCAGAAATGGAGACTCATCAGAGCAGCAACGTTTCTCCAATCTTCTATTGTGCAGTTTTGGTGAGTCTGTGTGAATTGTAGCCTCAGTTTCCTGTTCTTAGCTGACAGGAGCGGCACCCGGTGTGCTCTTCTGCTGCTGTAGCCCATCCGCCTCAAGGTTGGACGTGTTGTGTGTTCAGAGATGCTCTTCTGCAGAGCTCGGTTGTATCGAGTGCTTATTTGAGTTACTGTTGCCTTTCTATCAGCTGGAACCAGTCTGGCCATTCTCCTCTGACCATCAACAAGGCATTTGCGTCCACAGAACTGCCGCTCACTGGATATTTCCTCTTTGTCGGAGCATTCACTGTAAACCCTAGAGATGGTTGTGCATGAAAATCTCAGTAGATCAGCAGTTTCTGAAATACTCAGAGGATGGATGGATGGATGGATGGATGGATGAATGGATGGATGGATGGATGGATGAATGGATATATTCATATATGGATGGATGGATGGATGGATGGATATATTCTTATATGGATGGATGGATATATTCTTATATGGATGGATGGATGGATTCATATATGGATGGATGGATGGATATATTCACATATGGATGGATGGATGGATGGATTCATATATGGATGGATGGATGGATGGATGGATGGATATATTCTTATATGGATGGATGGATGGATGGATTCATGTATGGATGGATGGATGGATGGATATATTCACATATGGATGGATGGATGGATGGATGGATGGATATATTCACATATGGATGGATGGATGGATGGATTCATATATGGATGGATGGATAAACTGCACAATAAATATGTGTCTATTTGTATTGAAGTCACAGAATATTGGTACATTTTAAAAGAGAATCTGATGTGAGTGATGGGTTGACTCCACCAGGAGCCAGTGAAGACTAACTATGAGAACACGTGACGTTAATCCAGAAGGTTGACGCGTACATAAGCAATACTGAAGCAATACTACACCAGCACTAATCAAATAATGTAGAAATGTAGTGATGGCCTACCTGCCCTACTAACACAAACAAGGAGAAGATCACAGTCCCCAGCCTAGAGGAATAAACAGAAGCTCACGGTCAGCCCATTCACTAAAGCGTCTGGTTTCAGCACTGCACTGCCAACAAATGCTTTTGTGTTGAACTGAAGTCACCTGATGCCGAACACTCGGTCCAGCAGGAATCCGCCCAGGAAGCACAGGACCACATTGGGCCAGGAGTACCAGGCGTACAGCTGCATGAAGGAGGCCGTGTTCAGATTCATGTCCTGAAACACACAAACACAGTCAGTATGTGTCAGCGCTGAACACGCACCACTATCCTCAGATCAGATACAGCTTCAGGCTTTATATCTGTTATCTGTTGATGATATCTGTTAGAACAGTGGTTCTCAAACTCTGGTACGTGTACCATTAGAGCAGGAGTGGCCAACCCTGTTCCTGGAGATCCCCCTTCCTGCAGATTTCAGTTGCAACCCATATCAAACACACCTGCCTGTAATCATCACGTGGTGTTCATGTCCTAATTAACTGGTTCAGGTGTGTTTGATATGGGTTGCAACTGAAATCTGCAGGAAGGTGGATCTCCAGGAACAGGGTTGGCCACCCGTGCACTAGTGGTGCGCGGGGTTACTTCTAGTGGTATGCGGAGGAATCCCTGAGTAAGGAAAGAAAAAAATAAATAAAATTTTAATCATTTGATGCAAACGATAACACCGATGTGATCAGCACTGGCACTGTTCTCTAAAGCGCTGTGCTTAGAATGTTTACTTTAGTGGATCAGCGGCTAAAAATCAATCTAAATGACGCAGAACTAAAGAAAGAGGTGCGTGGTGCTTGCAGAGCAGTGGTCCTTAACCCTCGGGCCACAGAACAGCACTGTTACCGGGCCGCACAAAAATCATTAATTATTTCCGTTTTATTTATCATCCGAGTCTGAACAAACGTTTATTTTAAAAAATCTTTTATTTTGAAAATTGATGGTATTCTCTTGATACATCTCAAGTCACTTGAGCATCAAAATTGAACCCACAGACTATTAAAATGAGTAAGAACTGCAGCATGATACGCTTGCGTATTCCAGGCGTGCGCAGTTGAAAACAACTCAACTTTTCAGAATGCCGCACAGCGAGTCACGTGACAAGAACCGACTTATCAGCTTCCTATTTTGTTTGGAATATAAAGTGTTTGACTAATTATCTCAGACAAACAAAGAACGCCCAAACACTGCAGTGCTTTTTAATTGTCTCCATGAATAAAACTTGTATCAGAGCGCAGCAATGTTTTGTTAGCTTGACATCCTCTGAGAAAAACGGGTTCCCTAGCAATCTACACACAGGTTAATGTTTATATTTCAAAATGTTATATATATATATATATATATATATATATATATATATATATATATATATATACATGTATTTTTATTTATAGCTGTGGCCGCGACCACGGCTATTTTCATGTTCGGGATCTTTCACCTTTAACTATACCTATTCAATTTCAACATCCACAATAAAACTTAAATTAAATATGATTTTTAGTGTTAGTGCGTGAACAAGATTCCAATTTCTTAACTGGGTCCGCGTTCTCATAGATGTCCATAACAGAGTTCGATTTCTTTTAATGTCTTCTGCTTTCGGAAACAGCAAGACAGTCACATAACATATGATATATATATATATATATATATATATATATATATATATATATATATATATATATATATATATATC